AGTCAATCTGTTTAAAGAAGTTATTGGCTCCTACAAAATTTGTTCCGTTGTCGCTGAAGATGGTGGATGGACGTCCTCGTCTCTTGATGAATCTCTCCAGGGCCATTAGGAAATCTTCTGTGCTGAGAGATATTACCAGTTCCAAATGTACACAGCGGTACACAGCACAGGTGAAGAGAACAACCCAGGTCTTGGTCTGATCCTTCAGATAGAGCGGGCCCGCCAGATCAATCCCTACCACCTCGAATACCTTGGCGTTATGTACTCGAGTGGCAGGTAATGGAGCGTCTTCCACCACAACAGGTTTAGCGGAGAAGCGGCGACATGTGACACATCTTCTCACTATTTTCTTAATGGTCTGTCTCGCTTTTACTATCCAATATTTTCCCCGAAGTTTGTTCATCAAAAATTGTACACCAGCAGGGCAATTCTCAACGTGTGAATCACATATCATTTGTTCAATCAACGGATGAGTCCCATGTAATAGTACTGGCAAACGGAAGCCAAATTCGTCGCTGCTGTAAATTAATTTTGTTTTCACACGCAGGATTCCTTCTACTTCACATACCTTCAGACCAGGTATAGAGTGGCTAGGGAGACACTCGGCCTGAACTAATTTCAAAAGCGCCAGCTCCGCTTCATCGATCTCCTTCACAGAAAGTTCGCCCTTTACTTTCGTTGAAGATCGGAGGTTGTTGATGAATCTTCTAATCCACGCCATCATCCGCACATTTTTTTATGAACGAGGAGAAATATTTCATGTACCAATGATCGGTACTCTTAACTGTTGTCACAACAGCAATTTTCTTTCTTTCCGCACAGATTTCTTCTTCATTCAGGTCTTTATACCCGGAAGGCCAAAATTCTTCGGAGAGTTTTAACCAGGAAGGGCCCTCCCACCATCTAGACTGTATCAGCCGGGAGAGGCTGCATCCTCTGGAGGGTAAATCAGCTGGATTGCACTCGCTAGGAACATATCTCCAATCTCCAGGATCACTAAATCTGCATATCTCTTTCACGCGATTCCTGACAAAGGCACCCCACTGATCATCGCGCTTTATCCAAGCGAGGGCTGTTGTGGCATCAGACCAGAATACATTTTTGAGATCTTTTAACTCTAGAGTTTCAAAGATCATCTTGTTTAATCGTGCTCCTACAACACAGGCTAAAAGTTCAAGTCTTGGTATCGTAGGTCTCTTGAGAGGAGCGACTCGAGACTTAGCCGCCATCATATGCACTTCAACTTTGTCACCAACCCGAGTCCGAAGGAAGACCACAGCAGCATAAGCTTCACTACTAGCATCAACAAACGTGTGTATCTTCCAGTCCTTCTGCGGTACCATCAATGGATTGAAATTCCTAGGAATTGCCATGCTTTGTGCAGCTGAAGATCGTCGAACCATAGGCTTAGTTCATCCTTGTAGTGACGGTCCAATTCATCGTCCCATGCCAACTTTAGAGTCCAAGCTTTTTGCAATAGAATTTTAGGCTTTATTAATATTGAGTTCAGAAATCCAATAGGGTCATATATCTGAGCTAAGCAGGACAGAATACTCCTTTTGGTTATCTTGGGGGGTATGGCTGCGGAAATTTCACATGACAAACAATCTTCCCTTTTATCCCAACATATACCAAGCACTTTAGATATCTCTGCTCTTTCAAAGGGGTAAGTACCGGAGGCCACGTCCAGGCTATGCTCCCAACGGCTTAGCTCCATCCGAGCATTATCCATGATGGACGTTGCGGTCAATTTGAGATCTTTTAACTCTTCAAAAGAGTTCACGCTTTTGACTAAATTGTCCACATAAAAGGATTTCTGCAACCTCTGAGCTAACGGTTTATGTTCATATCGAACATTAGATAGGTGGTATTCGATTACTGCCCACAAAATGAAAGGACTACAGTTAACACCGAAAACGACACGTCTATGTCGGAATACTTCTGTCTTTTCTCCATTTTGGGAATACCACAGAAAACGCAGGTAATCTCTGTCCCTTTCATTCATCTCAATCTGAAGAAACGCTTTCTTAATGTCTGCCACGACACCAAACTTGCCATTTCTAAATCTTAGCATAAGGTTGGGAATCATCTCTATGAGGTTAGGTCCCTTTTCAAGACAGTCATTTAAAGATGGGGATCTATAGACCTTGCTAGAAGCATCAAAGACAGGCCTGATAGGCGTAGTCCCACTGGAGAGTTTCACAACAGGACGATGAGGCAGGTAGAAGGCCTCAGCGTCGTGTTGTTCAGCTGGGACTTTCTCAATTATCCCATCATCCAACCAGCCTCGGAAAATATCATCATAGTCCTCATAAAGATTCAAAGAGATTAATTTCTTAGTCGTCTGTTCTAATCTCTTCATAGCAACTTCCCTGTTGTCCGCGATTTTAGCTTTCTCTAAAGTCCACGGGAGGGAAACAACATATCTTCCAGATACAGAATGTTGGACTGTTTTTAGAAAATGTCGACGCGCCAGTGCGTCTCTCTGATCTCTCTGTTTAACCTCAATAGGATCCATAATGCCAAGAACATCGAGATTCCACAGATTGGTTATACTGCTCTCCGAAATTGTCATCGTTGTAACATGATGAGCGAGTGAAACGTCACTACCTGGCTGACATTCTCCCATTAAAGTCCATCCAAAACGCGTCTGCGACGCAGTCAAGCCATTTGACAACATACAAGATTTCATCATGAAAATAGATCCCAATACATCGCATCCTAGAAGTATTTCAATTTCCATGTCATCCTTTCCAATATCAGGAACCCAGATTCTGCGGGCTTTGAGTTCTTCCAACCATGGCCCGCGGCTCAATCTTGGTAGGTTACCACAGATTTTTTGTTGGTCAAGAAGCTTCGCTACCATCTTAAAATTCCCCGATGCATGACCCAAATTGACTCTGTATTCTTGGTGGACACTTTCACTAGTATGACCTCCAAACACCACATGTTTAAGTGATTCCTGACCAATGGGAGATAGTATGAGATCCTGTGCAGTTTTAGACAAAATATAGGATCGTTGGGAACCTGTGTCAAGGAGGGCACGCACTACTTTCGCCGAAGTCATACCTTCGACCTTAATCTTCAGAGTCTGTAGCAAAATCAGAGACGAAGCGCTAAGACCGGAGAATGAAACTCCGTTTTCAACTGTAGAAGAAACGTCACAGTCTTCCACCTGTTCCTTGTCTTCATCCGCTGACTCTCGTCCAGTAGCATTAAGAGGGCATAAAATATCAAGGTGCTTCTTCTTACATCGAATACATCCAGTTATGCGCCTTCTACAATTAGAAGAGATATGACCTGGTTGGAGGCAGGAGATACAACATTTAGCGTTTTTAATACGCTCTCTTCTTTCTTTAATGCTCATTCTGCGCGCAGCAAGACATTCTGTGTTTTTATGATCTTTATTACAAAATATGCAATTTTGGGCACGTCCAGCAAAGAGTCCAGAGGCCGTAGGTATCTTAGCAGGATGTGATTGTCTGCCCACGTTTCTATCTTGTTTCAGAGATCTAAGTCCAAACTTGGATCCAGCTAAGGCTCTGTCTTGTTCTGCTGCAGCTTCCTTTTGGAGAAACTCCATAATTAGGTCAACTCTAGTTTGAGTCGAATCATTAGCATCAATCTTGACACCATGGAGGGGGCTTCTTTGCCAAGCCTTCATGAGTTCCTCTGAGAGACATGCCTCAATCATTGGAAATATAAATACAGACATCTGTCTGGCCTCAATCTTTAAGGATTCCAATGCTCTCAAATGAGTCACCAACTCATCATAAAATGAAGTCACCTTCAACTGTTGTTTGGAGGAGCAATCGATCATAAGGCGGATAAGGTCCCTGACATAGACTTGTTGCAACAGTTCAGGCCTTCCAAATCTTTCTGTCAAAGTTTCTATAACTTTGGGGTAATTCTCGGCAGTCAGGGGGTAACTATCAACCAGTTTACTAGCTCTGGTTCCCGGCGACATAGATTGCACAATATATTGAAACTTGTCGCTGTCTTCTAAAGTGGGATCGACATGTATCTTGTTGAACTGTGCCCACCATCCCAACCAATCTTTTATTTCTCGTGTAAACTTCTTTAATTCTATTTTGGGTAGTTTTACAGTTCTATGGTGTGAGCTAGAAGCGAAGCTCACTTCACTGGTCGTGGGACTGGATGCATTGATCCTGGGTTCAACAAGAGCGAGACATTTTTTATATATCCTCTTATATCTCTGGGTATATTGCAAGGCTTCCTCATCGTCTTGCTCTAGTTCCTCTTCGCTAACGTCTGAAGTTAGCATGAAGTCTCTTATCTTGCTTTGGATCACAAGAAGCTCACCGTGAGTTTCTTCAATGATCTCTCTATTATATTCAATGTCCTCTACAGGTATCGGTGGAGTACTTGACAGAAACTCTTCTGTCGTCTTCAAGATGCGAGTTAGTCGCTTTCTAAGTAAATTTCTATGTCTTTTTAAAATTTCCATTTTTCAAAAAACACTATGAACAGAGGGTAAAACAAAAGGTACTTAGCTTGAGTCTTTACTTGTACTCCGCCGTTAATCCACTTGATCTTGCCTTGTCAGAAGCCCACCCAGGGACGCCACTTTGTGTCGAAATGTCGGGTAATAGTTTCACAAAACACTGAAGCGAAATTCGGTAGAAGAATTCGCTGTGATGATTCTTTGTGGGCTGTTGCAAGGATTCAAATAAGATCACTAAATAGCAGAAAGGAGAGGGTAAAAATTCCCTTTTAACTAACTTTATTTAATACAACGTAAGAGGACAGAGGAAAACACCCAACTGGTCGGTAGCAGACCAAGCCGTGTTCTGGTCCTTTGTTGGCGGCTGGCGCCGCCGGGCATGTTTGTTTACAGTCGTCACCCGAGCCGTCTGGACGGCGTCCATTATTCCACAATCAGTGATTCGCTCTCACTCTGATACGTCGAGAATTAAATAAATAATTGATACATATGAGAACATCCTGAAAAGATTGGTTATTCTGAGGCAAAAAAAAAATCCCCACGCCAGGAATCGATCCCCGAGCCTTCGGGGTGAAAGCTAGATTTCCTAGCCACTAGACCACGTGGGACTTATATATTTGAGTTAAGATAATTAATATTAATGTATAAATATATATAATTGGTTGATGTAGAGCTATATTTTTTTCCAAACTTCCAACTAACAAATTATCTCCAAAATTATCATATATTAAAATTTAATATGTTTGCAACTAACTGATATTCAACATCAGTAAGAACGGATTATTGTTATAATATTCAAAAGTATGAATTAAGAATATTCACACACACATTCAGGCAGAAAATGATTTTCGAAAGTTTTATAAAAAGGTGTGCAATATTATTTTCACATTATACCCTATAGTTTAGATTCATAAATATTCATATATTAAATATGAATATACACAATTGCATATATATATATATTTGTTTTCAAACAGGTTATTTGCCTTTTCGTGATAACATAAACGCAAAAAGCACATTAAAGAATAATATTCAAACCAATTCGTTTCCAGGATACAATACAAAGGGGGTTTAAACACCAACGAATTTGACACATTTTGATAATATAAATTACAATATATATTTATTTTATATTATTAATTATATATGTGATATTTGAAAAATAATAGCACATTAATTATAATATTTATAATGAAGCTTGACAATCCGATTTATAAAGAAGTTCACGATACAGTATGCTCACCAAATAAAAAAAGTAAGAAACATACCAAAAAGAATATACAAATTATCCAAAATTACCGATTTGGTCAAGAATACTTGATTATGAAATCCGATCCCTGTTGCCAACAACAAGGGAAGAATTCAGAAAAACGTCAAGCACTCTACCAAATCGTAAACATCAAAAAAGCTCCACGACCTATACTACCTATACGTAATTCTTTAGTTCGTAATTCTCGTAATTATTCAGTTCGTAATTCTTCAGTTCGTGATTCTTCAGTTCCAGGCCCATACATAGGCTCTCAACCTTACGACTATCAAACAAATATTTCCCAGTCATCTACATCCACTCCTTGTATGGATACATGTTTCCCAAAATGTTTGACTCATCCCCAACCATGTTGTAATCTACCAAATTTTCCTCAGATGAATGTATGTCGAACTGAAGGCAACATACCTTGGAACGTGCAAGCATCTCAAGATGATTACGAATATTATTACTATGAGGATTCATCGGAAAAACTACCAACTAAAAGTGTTTCATTCAAACCTATTCCAAAACCAGTTCAAAATAAATCAACCAATCCTTATTCTTATATACATACTGAAAATTTTGATATTAAAGGAAATTATGATTATTGGAATGATCAAGGGACGATGATTTATCCAGATAGTATATATTACTCAAAGAGATCAACTTCTCAAAATCGAAATGAGCATCAAAACATGAAACCTCAGCAAAGCGGTAATGTGGTAGACCAGAGCAGTGCTATCGACTTAACCAAGAATGCTTCCAAAGATGAAATTAAACGAATTTCAAATAATTCATTGAGATCCCAACCTGAAATAATTTGCCAAAACTCTAACGAAATCAAAAATAAGATTATAAAACCTTTAATTAAATATTCAAGAAAGAAATGTTTAGACTTTATGTCCTTTTTGGAAAGTTCCATTATGACATCGATTAATAATTATAAATCGGGCTCTGTGGTAGTGAGCAGAAGTTGGAAAAAGGCATTGCTAACTCAACTCTTACGTCTGGCTAAGGAAGATCCTGTTATCAGTAGCAGCAAGGACCTCCTTGGATCCATGAATTCCAGCAGCAAGAAATATATTGCATCCCGTTTGCTAAATCTAGCCGTCAAGGATCCCGAGATTGTGGTCCTGATCAAGCAACTGAAACAAAGAAAGATATGAAGCTGGAGTATTTATTGAGATCAAAATCAAACTCGTGTTATTCTTTTGATATCAAGATTCTAATTGGTTCTATAGTCTCTCTGATAAAATAATTATAGTATTGAATATTAAAAAGAACAACATTGTCATTTTAAAAATAGCTAACGTTTAATGTTACTTTTCTTTGTTATATTCCTCTCTTTTATACTGTAGGTTATTAACTAGGATAACTTTTGTCTCTGAGTAAATTCACTTTTCAACATATTTTAAATTATTATTTTGTTCTCTGAGATCTACTCTTTGTTTTGTTAAATTAGATTTTAAAAATTTGGCAAACCCAAAAAAATTATGAATAAAAATCAAGTAGCATACTACTCTCAAAGAAGTACTTGAACAAAGAAGTAAATTGTAATCTAAGCTATCCGAGTTTTTTTTTTTTAAATAAGGAATTTTTTTATTCTGCTTAAAAAAAACAGAGAGGATTTGGCTTTTTTAAAGATAACTCGTCAGATCAGTATTAATGTATTTGGTTGGTATAAAAGATAATTTTTGAGGCATTCTTATATAGAAAAATGTTTAGAGAATTACATAATATCTTTTAGGACAGTAGAAATAGAGTAAATAAAGATGCTCACAAATAACATCCAGTATTACTCTTCTGGCAAGTTCATCAACGCTTTGCCAGGCTCTCTCTCATTATTTTTCTTATTGCAATATAGACATCATAAAAATCGACAATAAAATAATGCCAAGAAGTCTTAAGATCAGAATATTAATACTTGATGCAATCAATAAGAAAGTTTAATACCCCACAACCCTTTTCGAATTTTTCCCCCCAAACCCTTACGTATGGGCAGCAAGGAATGATTGGAAACCACAAAGACAATTTTTCCAGTCTTGATAAACATTATTGAAGATTTAATCGTTTTTTTACAATTAAGAATTTGAATATATACAAAATTATATTATTTTATAATCAACTCTAATATGGACTATTTCCAACATTATAAAAAGTGATGTATTTTGAAATATACTACCAGGATTCTTTGAAAGTGATATAGAAATGATCGCTTAATTTAATTACACGCATCTTTTTACAAAATACGAGGGTATTTTTCTTTCCATTTTTGCACTACAGGGTCACGTATGGCTAAGTCGTGGAGACGTGACACTAAGCGATCTTCAAATGTCTTCAGATCACCAGATTTGGACGATTTAGATGTAGACGAACACGAAGATGGGTGACATACCTCATTGACCATTATTTGAACGATTGGGTCACTGACTGCCAGTTCGCAGAGCCGATAGGCCATCTTGTTCTTGTGAGTATGAGAAGAAGTATCAGAAGACTGAGGTCCTGGCTTTACCCGATCTGGCCTAGTTCTAGAGGTAACGTTGGGATAGGCTGCTGTCTGGGTTCTAACTTGGTAGGACTTTGTTGTTGATTTGGTCCAGGTAGGCAACATAGTGTTGGTTAATGGCTGGACTTCGCCTTGGTATTGCTGTGGAAATGTCCGGGTAGTAATGTGAAGGTTAGCTTCTTTTTTGGTTCTGATCTGGACTAACTCTGTTCCTGAATCCGTCCAGGAGGAAACTTGAGGGTTAACTGATGATTGGGATCTCATTTGATATTGCTGGTTTTTTGGATTTTTCATTTCAGTAATATTAGCTGTTGTTGGAGTTGTCATTTGTAATGCTTCTGTTGCTGGGGGAGTCCAGTGGGAAGTATGAGGATCAGCTGAATTTTGTGCCTTGATATGATATTCTTGTGAATTTGGGTTATTCCAGAATTGAACATTAGGGTTATTTACTGATTGAGTATTTGCCTGGTACTGCTGTGGCATTGGAGTAGTCCAATTGGATACATAAGGGTTAGCTGCTGAGTTGGGTTTCATCTGGAATGGTTCGGCTGCTGAGGTAGGCCAGTAGGAAGTCTGAGGATTAGCTGAGGTTTGGGTTTCGATCTGATCATATCCTTGAGCATTTTCTCTGTACTGCGGTGAAAATGGATTCCCCCAAGTGGATATATGAGGACTAGGTGCTGTTTCAGGGTTCACCTGATATTGATGACTTGCTGGAGGGGTCCAGTAGAAAGACTGAGGACTAGCCGGTGCTTGGACTTCGACATTATTTTCCTCCGTGGTATCCTGTGTGGCAGCCCAGAGGTGAGCGTCAGGGTTATGTACTGGTTGGGCGTCTTCCTGGTTTTTCTGTGTCATTGAAGTCGGGGAGATGATTGAATAGGGTGTTTTTGGTTTTTGGTTTCTGATCGGAAATTGATGAGTCGCGTAATTGTCCCAAGTTGAACAGTTTGGATCTGGAAGATGGGTTTTATAGGGATTTATATTTGTGAAATTGCTGGCCTCTGATCTAGAACTTCTGCCTTCAGAGCGAGTTTTGTAGCTCTTGTTAATATCGGAGTTCCCAGAATGAGACTCTCGTTTAGGTGCTTTTATTATATATTTTTGAGAAAGGTCATTGCATGCATTTATTTTCTCATGGGACATGGCTTTACTTTCTGATATAACAGAATTTTTAGATTTTTCTGAATTTTGAAATTCTAAATCTTTTTTCATTTTATCAATTATAAGATTTTCAAATGAATATAATTTTTTATTTACTTTTTTGTTGCCAGCATTATTTTGATATAAATTAGATGCCTCATCTCGTTTTTTCTTAATGTCAATAAGCTGATACATCTGGGCTTTGCCATTTTCTTGGGCATTTGTTGATGTGGTGCAACAAGGATCTCCTCTCTCCACAACATCTCCCTGGTTGCATATTCTATAATTCTGCAGAATTGCCATCTGCCTTCTTTGGGGTTTAGACGCATCATTCTTGCAGTTGGAATCTAAGATTCGGCTAACTTGAATACCACAATCCTGTTGGACCAATGGATTTTTACAACTTTGAACACAAATATCTGGTTTCACTACTGGCTTCTCAATATCTTGAGTGACTTCTCCTTTGAAATCATATTTATCCACAATTTTATTTTTTAAGGAGCATAACGAATTCCAAAAAGTCATTTGATTTAACAAATTGTGGAAACGAGAACTACTTTCTTATTGAAAAAAAAAGAATATAAAGCAAAATATAAAAATGAATAAAAAATGAAATGATTATATATTCAACTATATTTTAAAAACAACTCAACTTTTATAAATTAAAACTTTGAGTGTGTCAAAATTTTGATGAACCCAATATTTATCGA